AGCTGTTCTGCATACAGGTTGAAAAGGTATGGAGACAGGATGCATCCCTCCCTGGCGTATGCCCTTCCCAATTTTGAACCATACAGTGTTCCCGTGCTCTGTTCTGACTACTGCCTCCTGGCCCAAGTATAGGTTTCGCATTAGAACTCATTTCAGTGTCTTTGACTTCCTTTCCCAGCTTCAGTACTGAATTCTGACCAGGAGAGAAATTCAAGTTGCAATTTTTCTCAAAGAATTTATATTTTCTAAACTCCTTTACAATCTAATTCTCGTTAGCTTCTCTGCCTCCTCTTCTTCCCCATGCTTTGATTACTCCACTTTGTTTGTAGTCAACATTCCTAACAGTCCTTTGGCTTTGACTCCAGCAGTATAATCCATACCAACCCTCATTTATAGGCTTATTGGGAGTGGTTCGATGATACAGTCATAAAAAGATTAACTGAATTTCCAAGATGTAATAGGCTCTGAAATGAACCTATAAACATAAGGATATATTATTAGAAAATACCAGAAACTTAGCAGAGGATCAGACAGGTCAGGAAACAAACATAGGATTCTTATTGAGGATGCTTTAAGATAACTCTGCCATCTTAAAGATAACAAGTGTAACCATCTATCCATTTGACTAATGGGGGCTGTCCAGAACAAGCACTGTAAGCTTTTAAGAGGGACTGTTTAACATTTGACAGTAAGAATGGGTCATTGTGCCAGAAACCCATCTTTCAGGAGAACCATGTACTATATGTCCCAGCATCTCCAGGGCAATGCTGACCTGTTCATCATCAATCATCAAGTAGGATGCCACAGTCAACTCATCATCCATGTTTTTCTTTAAGAGGACATAATTTGAGGTCATGTAGCAAAGCCACATGCACATCCATATATGACATTTTTTGTTTCACTGAGAAGTCAGTAAGAATTGTGGTGATATCCTTGTAAGAGAAGACTTTGTCCTGACAGCAGTTCACTGCAGGTAAAGATGAGGGGCAGATGTTATAAGGACTTATATTTCCATATTTACTCCTCAGGGGAGCCCCTGCAGCTCTCTGTAACACAGGCCAAAGGAGTCTCATCATAGGAACCATTAGTGAGCAGGATGAGGTGGTGAAAAGAAGGTCAACATGGAGCTTATGAAGGCAGAGGTTGGAGCAAGTGGGAAAGATCAGAGAGGTACCTCACTGGATGTTTTAGGCAGACAGTGGAGGTTGATAGCAGGTATGCATCAATTCATTTCATATGAACTGAGGGCTAAAGGGAATCCCACAACTGCTTACCTTAAATGTTCTTCTTGAAAAGCCAAAGCTCAACCTCAAGGGCCTCCTCCTTCCAGCATTTCCCCTCAGCACTAGCCCTACCCTGACTCAAGAATTATACCAATGCCTTTCAGTTGTGCATGGTGAACCTAAAGAAAATGATGGCTTCCATTAAGGTGAGATTTAACACTAACCTGGCTTGGCTCTGGGGACAAAGATGTTTCCATAATTTTTGGAATCTGAAGATACTTGTTAGCAATAGGGGGGTGCCTTCGTTTCCTTTATTGGAATAACAGGACTGGAATAGCCAAGCTGGGGAGTCACTCAGTCCTGTAGGAGCTGACCAGGGCTGAATCAAAAAAGCAGAGATTCTTCTCCATGATTCTTTGGGGTTCTGCCAATTTGAAGACAAGCTCTGTCCCCATCCTCCATATGTCTAAGATGAGATGTGTAGAACAAGCACTATCAGCTTTTAAGAGGGCTCATTAAGACTTGTAGGGAAGGACATGTTATCAAGCCTATAAGGATTGCTTTCTGGAGAGTCCAGGTCAACTTATCCGAACAACTACAGGGCAAAGCTGATCCTATCTTCAGTCATCAGGTATGATGCTCACTCCTTCCATCTTCCATTTTTTCCCCCCCAGAGGAGATCATTGGAGGTCATGTAGCACGACGTCATTCACGTCCATACATGGCGTTTGTGGAGTTATTTCATGATGGAAAGAAGAAAACTTGTGGTGGTTTCCTTGTGGAGGAAGATATTGTGATGACAGCCGCTCACTGCTTGGGAAGGTGAGGGGTGGAACCTCTAAGGACTCTTCACATTCCTACCACACGGGGGAGGGGGGGGGAGAGATACTTCAGCTGGGTGTAACTCAGGCCAAAGATTCTCATCATCAGAACCATTTGAGAGTGG